GTAACCAGGTCATTGCACGGCGAGTGCAATAAAACAACAGAACTCCGGCAGAGGGCAGACACATCGCGCTTTTATCGGCTGCCTTTGATCTCGCCGACCGACGTAACGTCTATATTACGTGCCACAATTATTGCAACTCAGCGGAAGATAATATGCACACGAGATTATCTTATGAGCTAATTAAAATTCAATGTACCTTGGCCTTTTATACAGCATCCCGGAGCGTCGCAGCTGGAGTCACGGCTGAGGGAAATGGTTTAATGTTACTGACGGCATTTACGACTAATTGCGGAGTCATTTTTAGTTTTTAAGTTTTCATTGACATTTTTAATATGCGTGAAATAACTATAATGTTGAATTAATTGTTTGTTTGTAGAAAATAGTTTTGTTTTTTAAGCTTTTCTAATAAGTATGCGGTGTCTACAAATCTAGCGATTGTTGAACTGACGAAGGAATTTCCCTCGGGGATGATTTAAGTCACTATATCTAGAATCACAGTAAGTATACTCTATGTGTTACAAATATTTTCATAGTACCGCGTATCACTTCAAGTTGGAACTCGTCTAAATGAATATCTACAAAAAACCGGTTTCTGAATAACTTAGCACGTTTTTTAAAGTAAAAAAGCCGGGTCGGCTTTGTGCGGCCGCCTACCTGCCGTAATTAGGCGGGCAATTTGTACTTTGAGATGTTTTTTGCCGATTTGAGCGCGAGCGCCGGGAGCCCTGCAGCGACTTTGCCTAGATTTGCTTGGCCATTTCTTTAATTTTAAATCTTGCAGGTGTTGTCATGTGGAAGAAATATTTTCAGTTTATTTGTTATATATTTATTAAAAGAAAGAAAGGCCCCCGAATGTCATATATGATAATAAAAAACTAAATTTTATTTTGTTAATTGATATGTAAGATTGTGTATCGACCAACGTGCGCCATTTTAATACTTTTTCTTATAATAATCAAAATTGTGTAAAACATTGCTCTCAGTAAATGGGAATAACAATAAGTTAAAATCTAAAATAAAATAAACAGCAAACTAGTAACATAATAATGTGTTTCTTTTGTATGGGAATATAATCTAATTTTTTTTTTTCATCGGCACGGATGCGCTGTAAAGGGATTTGGGGTGTTAAAACTTTCTTTCATAAAAGAATTATTGAGTGGTTTTTGTGTAGTTCCATTATCCACGCATACCTGTGCTAATGATAGGTTGCTTGCGGCTTCAGGGAACCTCCGCCGCCACATCTCGATAACACCTCGCCAGATGTACCCGCTAGGATACACATGCTTTTGTATTTATTTATTATAATTCTGACTCTAACATAAGTGAAAATGTTTTGCATGTTTCAAAAATATGATATAATAGTACTGACATGTAGGTATATCTATCCCTTACCATTTCCTTAAAAAACAATCATGTAATAAAGTTTTTATATGGTATTATATAAAGTAGTAATCCATCCGTTCAACAGTACCATTGAACAATTTAAAGTCTCAGAATTTCGCATCAAAACATGGTTACCCTAACCATAGTTATTTCATTGTCGTAACAAAAAACAATTCATAATTTGACGGCGTCGACAAAGCAACGGACAGATGTGAGGAAATGGGTTATCATACTGCTGCTAAGAGTTTATCTTTCAACATTTATGGTTCTATTATCACGTACACAGATATTGGCTAGTAACAGAAAAATATTAAAAATTAAACTTTAAAAAAGAGCACAATTTTGCCCATGGTATCTTATTGCGTGCGAGGTCATCGACCCCGTGAGTGTTGCCATCAGATGGTGGTCGTGATGGCCGCTGTACAGCACGCTGCAACATCTACAAACTAACCACACTATTGCCTCGCCGACATTAACTAGTTTTACTTTGGACGGAAGTTCACAAATTTAGCGGTAAACTAGATGTTACAGTTTTTTTTTCGACAAAATCACATTTTAAATACTGTATTGGACTTTAAGCAATTTATAACTTCCTATAATTCAATTTGAGTCACTGTATAAACACATTAAAACGTATTTACAAAGTTTTAAAAAATTACAGTGTCATAATTCTTAGGAAACATAAAATATGAAATTAATGATAAAATGTCAACCGTAAATTAAAAATAAATAACTATTAAAAATTCTGGCAACACACCAGAAAATTTAATGATTCAATTATAATCGTGAATCTTAAAAAAATAACAATAAAAAGTGAGTCAAATGATCTAAATTTGTGGTGAAATGTTGGCATCTCTCGGGTCACGTGACATCGAAGTTTGGCAAGGAGCGTGACTGCCAAAACGCGGCCGCACGAACTGATGGCAGATAGGACGGCCATGACTGGAATGGTCCGAGTCCCGTTATTAATTGACTCATCCTGTTCTCTGTTCCCTTAAGTACAATTTTTACTTAAGCTGTAACCAGAGGTCGAATTTAAGCCGTAGTGTTCTATAATCTGTTACATCATTTTAAACCTTCTGTCGAAGTCAAAATTTTACGTAAATTCCCTCGCACAGTACTGTAATAATGCCAAATTATTTTTAAACTTTACATAAGATAATGCAAAACGTATTCACTATATTGTTAAAAGTATTCTAAAACAGACGTTAACAACACAAACCGTAGATTAAGAAACTTGTTTTCAATTTCGATTTCGATTTATGACGCCATTATAGCGTTTTGTTTACAGTAGAACAATGTACACGAAATAAAAGTGCGAAATTGCATGGATTACTGAGCCGGCATTAAATTAACAAGCGTCCACAACCGGCTTCAATGCTGCCTATCAATACAACGATAGCGGTATCTTTATAAGGCAATAACGCAAGCGCAGCTATTTATTTTTATTTATACGCGTTATCGCGGTATCGCCTTAAGTGGCGATCGCTATCTACTAATGCGGCGCTATCGCCGGCATCCTATAAAGTGGCGATACGCATACGACGAGATAAACCTACGAATAATAGATACTATTATCGGCCAAGAGACCTTTTTTTTTGTAACGTGACTTGAATGAACATCTCTCTATATTTCCTTACTAGTCTTATTACAATCGCCGATCTCATTAATCGCTTTAATTTCGGTAATTAAGATTATATAATCACTGTAAGCTATAATGTAAATAGTTGCATTATTGGTCTGGAATCTTATAGGAAAAAGTAAAATAGGTACGTTACTATTACACATATAGAAGTGCCCTAATTAGTCGAAGAAGAAAACTTTGTGCTAAATAAGTCTATCAGGTGATCTAAAAGATTTTCTAAACGTGTAAACATAACCAGCGAGGTTAGAGCGTATTCACACGGCCGCGAGCAGGCCGGCCGGTCGGCGACCGGTCGATCTGGATCGCGGCGTGGCTTTGATCCGAACGATAACAGTAACAGCCTCGTTGACGAGTTAACCGCCTACGCCATCTTGTTCCCGTTTAGGTATTTAGTGGTTGATTAAATTGTTGTCAGCTTTGATCTACCGCAGTGCTCAATTGTTGCAATTTTATATTTGTTCATATTTTTGAAATTCCTTTTAAAGTGGTCCAATTAATTTATACATTTAGCATATCTTACCCCTATTAAGTTAATAATAATAGGTAAACTAACAAACTAACCAACAACAGTCAAAACATAAGAACAAAGTTCAATTTATGATCTTCAAACCTTTCTATTTCTTATATTTGTATACAAAAATCATTGCACTTATAAAGCAGTTTCATAGGATACATGCTAATTGAGCGAGTAAACTGAGGGGTGAGGGTTGTCAGTATCGAGTCAATCTCACCCTCTAGCAACCCCATGTATCATTAACGATATCAGATTTACACGCAATAAAACCTATTCAACAATAAGTCGTAAATTCACAGCCCTGTCGCGGCCTCGGCACTCTCTATAGACACGATTGTTTGCGTTCACATTTAATAAAATAACTATTGCTATTATTAAAATTTATTTGGATGACATCTGGATAGAAATTGTAATTGAAATTGCTGTGCTGTATTTCATTTCATTGATAAAACGAAAGTAATTACGTGTTTATGTTCTGACAATCGAAGCCTAGTCCACTTATGTACAAAAATTTTCAATCGCTCTTATTTAGAAATATAATACATAATAATGTATTTATTTTTGATAGATAAGAAGAAATACATTGACCTGGATCTGATTTAAAAAGTATTACACGAACTTCGGCTTTTCAAATTACAGTGACTTTTAAAAATCTGTTCATCTCTGTTACGACAAATAATAAACACTATTCAGTAATTCAATACTATAATAAAATAATTGTTAATCCCAGATATTCCGCTAAACTATTAAAAAAAAACTTATTGCTTCCTTGCATACAAACAAGCCCTTCAGTTAATCCCCTATTGTGTTCACCCCGACCACCGGAGTGTTCGTTTTTTACTTGTCGGTGAGTAAAGGCCATTTACATATTTTTTACGATCACATTGCGCTTTTACCGACTTGTTAGACTTTCAGTTCAATGAACTAAAACACTGATAAAAGTAATTAAAAATAATTATGTTATCAACATTACTATATCAATTAAGAAGTAAACAATTAACCATCATTTAGTATTCGTTAATGGAAACAATCGACTGCTGGATTTGAATTCATTAATTCAAAGTCATGACGTCACAAGGATTATACAACACGTAACTTTTGGTACAGCTGTAGTTTGGTGCATATCTCACTTTATCTTTTCACGTCAACATTTATACTACTTTATTTATTCATTATCGTAGAAAAGAAATAAATGGTATTATTTGTTTATGGGGGATGTTTTTATATAGTGAGTCTTTTAAGAACCCGAGTTCAATGATTCAGATCTGCGTCATGCACTTGACTGTGGGAATACACCTTAAAAAGTAAATTTTATTTGCATCAATTAAAATTTCTTGGGGTAATTTGAGTAGATTTACAATGAGACAAACCCAGTTTACATTTCCCGTTGGTTCAATTAGTTCAAACTAAAGTGAAATAAGTGCATAAAAAGTGACAAATATTTAGTTAGAAACTTACCGCTTCTTCAGCTTCCTTTTGATCTCTGTGGCCCATCAGATTGGGCATGGCCGTCCAGTTGTATCCCAGGTCCTGGCAGTACGGGAGCTTGATCCTCTCGCACTTCCCACCTTCCACCTCCTCCTGGTCGGCAGCAGCCAAACACCCGCACAGGAGAATAACACTTAAAATCCTGGCCATCATCGTATACTTAAGCACAGTTAAAAATTATCACTAATTTGTTTCATGTTCAGTTACAAAATCACTGTTTACAAACACATAAATATCGCGTAAACATATTCCTTATCAAAATCCATTTAAAACACGTCCTCACAACAGCAGCGCTCGGCGTGGACTGATCCGAAATTCGAACGCGGAGCGGCAATTCAAAGGCTGAAGAACGAAACCGGTCGGCCGGCCGGCGCGTTCAGAAACATGCATATGTTCCGATAAAAGGTCTGAACGCATGAACAGAGAATTATGAAGATAAAAAAATGAAGAAAAGGGCCTAATTCGTGTACGGCTCACTGCAATCAACGGCTGTAATTTTGTAGCCTCTCAGCTTCGGTCTTATATTGAAAAAGCGGGCAAAACACATCATGAAGTTTTGAACAATTCCAGCTCTCTATAGCTTTATCCTAAAGGACGTTTAATCACATAACTGGATGATTGAGGTGAAAAGGATATAAAATAATCGGGAAATTTCTAAATGTATTCTTTCTAAAGCTGTGTTTATAATGTAGTAGGCTAATAGGACGAAGGTGTAACTCGAGGCACGATGACTTATCGTTTCGTGCGTAGAGTTTTATCAATAAAAATTATCGGCACATCAGAGTAGAGTTGTTTAATGTTGATACGATATCTTTACAACTTTAGTTTATTGGAGGTGGAAGTAAACAACAGCCCGCTAAATAAAGATGTCGGCAACGTTTCATGATAAATTGTATTTGAACAAATTTATCATCTATCATATATTTTTAAACAAGTTTAAACGTACATACATGTTACCCCTTTTAAGTTTTGAAGATGTGCAAGCGAGATATCGCTTGTTATCGCTCGCTCTTTTATCTTACGTACTTATGCTATTGCCATGCCATACCATGCCATGCCATCCCGACTAGAATACACAATTAGGTCCCTTCATTATATCACTCCAATAACACCTTTGAGTATAAAGCGCACCTGCAAATAGAGACCTTATGCACATTTAAATAAAATATATACGACATTGTAGTAAAAATATCATCGTCACCCATAATGACCAGTTTACGTGGAACCGTGAGTTGTAGGGAGTTTATTTAATGCTGAATAAGGTGTTGGGGTTTTGTCTTGTGGTTGTGCCCGGGTATGAATAGGTGCATTGTGCGAGCGGGACGGGCGCGGGCGCGGCGTCAAAGAGGCCGCCACTGCGCCGCCGCCGCGCCGGCCGGTGCGCGTACGCAGCGCAAGCGAGACCGGAATGCCTAATTAAAGACGCATGCGTGGACTGTGCCTTGCACTGTATGGTCCAAACATAATTTATATTTTTATTTGTTATTTTTTTTTTTTACTTTGTATATTCTTCTATTATATTAGATATATTTGGAAAATGGTTTAAAAATTCACTTTTTACAAGTTTGATGATTAAAACACTTTGACGTTACCGTTATTAAGGATTCTAATTTTTCAATACGAATTAGGAAGAAAAATAAGTTGTTAGTACTTATAAGCATGGAATGCACGTTTCCTTCTTACAAGCTAGCAATTATTGAAGTATTGATTACTCGTTTTCCAAAGTTATTGTTTTTCGACATTGGATATCGAAATCCGGTTAGTGTCATATTATGAAAACGGATATATAGTAACATGTTTTAATAAATAAATACAAATACGACAAGTTTTTGTTAAATTTACGGCAACACCTCGGGACATGGTGCGCGGAATTGTAATTGAAACGTCAGATGTGGCGCGCGCGCCGCTTCATTGGCGGCAAATGCAAATGTCATTCGCCATTGTCGATCGTCCTCGAACTGCACTAGAGTAACGTTCCCGCCATAACAATTGCCTACAGTCCATAACAAAACATTATCGGTCATCAATTTCAAAGCAACGCAATGAAGTACAAATTAAATATGCTATGTAGCGTAACGAATAAATGTAACGAAAAAATCATACATTTCTTTAAAATCTTACATCGTGCTGGCGTAAGATTTTCTAAACTTCTGTCTTAGGAATTATATTAAAAATCGTTATTTTTCTTAAAGTCTGTTGAGTACTTGAAGGCAGTTTAAAGGACGTTTAGTCCACGCTATTAGCAGCAGAGGGAGAACGTTTTTGAGGAGGTTGTGTTGACGTCGAGCCTCAGTCGCAATTACCGCGGGCCGCGCGCGTCCCGGGGTCGTAGACACAATTAACTGAATTTGCAGGGGATGAGCAAAAACTTGCGGAGCGACGGAATCCGTTAGCCATGTTGCAATGATTTTTAAGAACCGTCCTGTTTTTACATTAAAAAATAATAATCGCAGCTGTAGACAGCAGATTGAGATTCGAAAAAAGATTTTAAACCGTATGGCCTAGAAAGTGGAGTATTGAAGTTTTTTTTTCTAAAAAGTGTTATAAATGGTCTCTAGTTCTGCGGCATACAAGTCTCCGAAGAATCGACGATGTGGTCGTAACATAAAGTCCATGTAATTTGAAAGGAACGCGGCGTCGACAAAACTATGAAGTAAAAACTGTGACGGACGCGCCGGCAGCCGACAGCCGTGGCCGGTGGGGGCCGCGGGGCGCGCGGGACGATCGCCAAACGACTTCCCGACCCGCCATTTTAATTTGTTTAACCACTCCCGTAATTATACATATGAAAAATGTCAATTGCCTTTTATTTCTTCTAATTCGTCTTGCGATTTTATGGCGAACAAATTACAAAGCTTTTAAGTGCCATTATGTTTGTTCTTTTTTTAAAGATACATGACAGTTGGTTCAGATTATGTCAAGTTACCAAATTCGTTTCCCGCCTTTACCGAGCAATTTGACATTACTTTAAAATATTATAGTAAATTCGATAGTTTCTTCAATTCCTTTTTTATTATTAAAATAAAATAGTTAACTAGGCAACGATATTATGCTTTCATTAAGCATGTTTATTTAATAATTTCTGAGATATAATTACATCGTGAGTTAAGTGCTAACAGAAGTCAATTAAGGCGGCCTCCTTTAAATGTCGTCATCGTAAATTAAAGATAATAATTCGTAAACCGCCGACAGACAGAAATACCTACTGTATTTACTTTACAAACAATTCGCTGAAGTGCTTTAAGTTGATCAAGAAAAATATTTTTTTAGTCGTCGTTTTTTTACGTTAAATTTTTATATAAGTAGTTACCAAGAAGTATAAAATACATAAGTACTAGAACTAATTGTTGTACAATAAAAGAATAAAACCTTAATCACCCATTAGGACTTATAAAAAACCTACTACGAAGGTATAAGTTTCGTAGTATCTTCACGAACATTGTTCGACAATCAATATTAGGATATTAAATGAATCAAAAGCACATCCAGAACTAAAAATCATACAATTTTTGTGTTTTGTCTTATAAAATTCCTAACCAAAACAACGAGAGAGGCAATGATATATCTATTACACTTATTAAATACAAAATTAACAATAAGAAATTCATTCAGAAACATGAATACTAAATATTTCGATGTAGTAACTCATGTTGCGTGGCAAAGTAAGGGTTCTTAGTTGGATGCTGAGTGCACCCAGCGGCGCGGCGCGGCGGTGCAGAGCTGGCGTCACCCACATAGGTGTTAACACAGGCTCCCGCTGCGCACGCGCATCGCCACACCCGTGGAGTCCTTATTACTACTATAAGATTTTTAAGTTAATAGAGTCAATAGTTTTGTTAATAATATTAAACAGTTTATTTGATTTGAATAAAATATTTGTATACAGATGACATAGTAATTGTGACTAGGAAGATGATTATTATTCGCTTATTATTTACATGACGTCCGTGTTTATACTTAATAAAATTTAAAAGAAATTCAATCACATTACTAGGTACTGCAAGCGGGTTTCGTAGAGTCCTTGACTCTACTTAATGTATTTTTTCCTAATAAACGTAATGCAACCCACTCCATAGTATTGCTGTTCCCAAAGGTCGCCTAACGTTGTCGCGGTCCATTGTTTAGTGCCGGCTGCGGGTGCCGCGACACTAGCGCCCCGCGGCCACTTCCTGCATTATTCATACACCGCCTGTTTGACAGAAGCACAACATTTGAATACAAGTGCAACTCGTGACGAATACATACATGTTATGTGTATGAAGTGACGACGAAGACCACCAACTAAATTAGGCTATTGTAGGTTATTAAATTGGTAGAGACAATTCATCTAACTCAATAAAGAAAGTCTTTGATTAAAGGCATCCTGCATAGATAGTCTGATGCGCCAAGAATTATGAAATTATTACGGTTTTTTAAAGTAAAGGTGTAAAATTATGTACAAAATATTTTACAACATTTTACTTCTTTAAAATAAAAAATCTTCGAGTGTCGGCTAACACGTTTGATGTAACAATTTAACATGGAATCGCTATTTAGACCTTAATTTTACAGCCGACTTTCTGTTAAATTTCACATCTACCTGCCACACAAATAGTTCCTAACCTCTCACAGTACACCGTTTTATAACTACGCCTTTAGACCATTTAACACCTACTGACAGACAAGGAAATTTAGCCCTTACTGCATTACGTAAGAACTGTTATTTTTGTATGCTACAAGTTGCGCAAGGAAATTCTGGTGAAGGGGTGAAAATAAAATCATTTTTTACCTTTTGACTATGGCTTTTACATGCAACTTTTATTTACTTTACAACTCAATTGAACAATTTAAGCCTTTATTGTTGCTTTTTGTACAAGTAAAGTGTAGATGTTTAGATGTAATCCTTTTAAATCCCTTTCAAATTTTTTTAAACAACTTTTTATTATATCTGTGATAGACAGCGTATACCTGTCTACCTAACTTTTAAAATTCTAACCTACAACAGAGCTCTATCTTTGTTCATACATATGCTAGTCATTGAAAGATTCCAGTGGCTAATAAAAAATATGAGACTATTAGAGAGAATAACGTGTAAAACATATCAAAGGCAAAGGCACCCCTCATCTTAAGTTTCAATCATTTTTAGATCCCTTTTAACACTTCCGCTATTAACATAATATCTGGCTTCAAAGTTGTGCCTAAAAAGTGTTCATAATATTACAATCGGTTTCCGCCCTTATAACTTAAGTAATAAAGGCTTTAATGGCGTAATCAGAGATCACATCAAAAGGGTTGTCATCGTTGAAGTAGTTCATGCAATTATTACTACTATGCAAGGTGCTATTAAGTTGTTAATCGCTTGTCTGAATTATCGTTTGTC